TGTATTTGCACACGGCGAGCATATGCGTGCCGCATGTGCGAACCGCAATGAGCGGTTAAATTCGCATAGGCGATATTTTGGTCAAAACTAGAGACCTTTTAATGCAAATCTGGACGAGAAAGCCACATCATGTTTTAACAATTAAGAAGAGAGAGAGAGAGAGAGAGAGAGAGAGAGAGAGAGAGAACAGAATGAAAAGAGAAAGAAATGATAAATGTATGTCCTTCTCTCTCACAGATTTTTGTTAAAGCTGCTACTTTACATATAAAATTGCGATTCGTGTTCAGACTCTCATTATAAAAGGTCTTTAGATCAAAAAACGCATTAGCGGTTTCAGCAAATATTAATTAAAAAAAAAATTAATTATGAGTTAATTTTCAAACGAGCAACAATTAGTATCTTTAATGTACTTAACTGAATCTTTGATTGAGAGTTTAGATTACAGTATTTTATATATAAATTATCAATATCATAAAATACTCGTAACTAAAAAATTCTCAAATCGTATAATACAAGTCTGTGACAAACTGAATTCTCGATCTCAATCGAGGAATTTGGCAAATCTATCTTTATCGATAAACATAATTAATCTACTGTTGACTGAAGTATTCAAATGTTCCTACCTTATTGTCATCTGATGGGATATTTATTGACGTTTCGAAATTTTTTATATTTTTTATAATTTTTTATATTTTGATTTTTTATATATTTTTATATTTTATATTTTGACTTCACCATTGATGTTTTAAATTTTTATTGTATCCGTTATTGTGCATTAATTTAAGATTGTATATTTCTGCGTTGTAGCACTGAGGAAGACTTTGTAAGCCGAAACATTTGTTAATTATATTAATTCAAAATTAATTTAATTAAAGCTCGAAATAAGCCATGATATTGTGTTAATTTTTAAGAAAATATACGAGCATTTTTTACTTCATTTTAGATGAATTATGTTTATTACAATCTAACTTATTATAACTTTTCAAAATAAAATAAAAAAAGAACGGAACAATTCGATGATTGAAAAATCAAGAGAAGAGAAAACTTCTTATTTTGATTTATTGTTTTTCAAAATAAAATTTAATAAATCTAATATTGACTTCTACTTTAAAGTACAAATAATATATTTTTGTATAAATTATACCGCTAGCTTCTCGGTTATCAGCCACTTTAAAGTACGAATAATACTATAGTTTTGTGTAAATTATCGATAACTTTGCTCTTATCAAGTGATTTGATGCCAGTTGTTCATTTTCTCGACTTTAGTTCACTATCGTAATATACTTTCAACCAACATTTCTATGATAAGACGGTAGGAATTATTTAGACATAAGACGAGTCTGCCGTTCGCAATTCCAAAGTTTCAAGCGGCTGCGGAAAAGTTCTGCAACTTCCGCCGTATTGGTGTGGGTGTATTATTAAGGCCAGCCTTTGAAAACAATATTGCAATCGATGGCGGTTAACAATGAATGATAAAAGGCGGCGAGTCTCGGCGCAGATTTCCCTCTTTTCTTATATGACTATAAATCGATGGTACATAACTATTAAAACTATATCCACGAGATTATATTATGTGTTACACTACAATTTATGCGCATGTAAGCAATTTTTACGAATAATTAATGCGATCAACATACGAACATAGTTGAATAACTAAGGAATATATAAATAAAGAATGCGCGCGGTAGGAATTTTCAAAGCTCTTGTAAAATTGGAAAAAAAATATCGATCTGTCTTGTAGAATTAATTTTTAAAGAATTTGAAAAAGTAGTTTAAATTTTTTCATTACTATAAGAGTGTGTAACAATAAAAAAACCTTTAAAAATTAACACAATGTCATGGCTTATTTCGAGCCTTAATTAAATTAAATTAACTCTGAATTAATACAATTAACATGTTAATTATATTAATTCAAAGTTAATTTAATTAAAGCTCGAAATAAGCCATGACATTGTGTTAATTTTTACGAAAATACACGAGCATTTTTACTCCATTTTAAAAAACATTTAACATTTTAAATATTGAAAATTATGTGTGCAAATGTAATAATTGGAAGAATTTTAATATTTGTTTATAGATTAAAAATTGTCTTTGAAAAGTGATACTGTTCGTTAATATCGAAATATCGTAGGCGACGCCGCGGTTGCATTCGCGGATGCAGCGAGAACAGGATGCATCGACGCGATGCACATGCATTTGCAGCGAGAGAGACGCGGGGTCTTTGGCCGCCTTAATGGCAGATGCACTACGCCTTCTTTGACGTGGCTTTCCCCTAATTCGCATCAATTGACGGGGACAACGCGATGACGCGGTGACGGAAAAGACGACGGCCCGTAATTTTAATTAGCATTATTGCATCTCCGTGTCTCGACATCCGAGACGTCCGTTATGCAATGCGTCCGTCCGCAACGCGATATCAAACCTTGGTGTTTTTATTTTTTTTCTTTTAAACGGGATATGAAGTCTTAGAGCACGTACACTGTTAGATATCAAAGGAGCAATAGTAACTCAATCCTTTGAGTTAAATAACATTCTTAATAAAGTTATAGTATTCTTAACTTCCATGTGTGTGTCGAAATGTAAATCAATTAATTTCTGCGATTAATTTCAAAGTAAACAACGTGCATATTAATGACGTATACATTTAAATAAATAATAGATAAATTTGAGTTAAATTTTTAATGTTTAGTTTCTTGAATTAAATCGTTTAGTTAAATTGACGACCTATAAAAATGATTAAAAATAACTCTAATTGAATGATATTATGAATTAAAGTGCACAAAAAAACTTAAACAATAAGACGTAAATAGTAAGAAAATCAATCTGTTGGATTTGCTGCTGTTTACGGTATGATTTTACGGTCTTTACTGTGATTGGCCAATTTGTTTACTTACGTTTTATTGCTTAAGTTTTTTTTTTATGTGTTGTGGCTTTTAATGTCAATTTTACCTCTACCTATTTTACCTCAAGCTCGTTCTATTTTAGTCTCTTTTTGTTACGTTGATCCAGTTCGAATTCTAGACTCGCCATCTAATTAAGTCAATATTCGCATTATAATTTTATTAAGAATCATGTTTTCAGACTTTAATAAGATATCTAAGGTTATACTATTGAATATCTTATTAATGTCATTCGGGAATTTGTGGCGACTTCGACTTATATGATATTATAAGAAATTTAAGCGATTCACGAAATCGATTTTATGAAACGAATGCCTATTGCTGTTTGTTCTTCCCGTCCGTATTACGTAAACGCCCCTCACATTTCCGCACACAGATTATTCCTATTCCGCTCACACAATTCAGCCTTGGCCTCGTACTCCGAAACCTGCATCACCGTTGTCCGTTTTGCGTTTGCAAGGGATTGAAAAATCTACCAAGAGCTACGTTCTTTTTTGCTATCGAAAATAATTAGATATCATTTATACTCAATTATTTTGCCGCTTTAGTGAACGCCTATTGAACTTCTAGTGAATGTTGTAGTTTATCGAAAGATAAAATTTCGAGAAGTGTATACATGCATTAGAAATTAGAACCTGTTTCTGAATTAATTTCACTCTTCTACAATGAATTATTTAAATAATTTATTTTAATAATTTATTTTATGATTTTGACAAGAATGCGTTTCGATTTTAACGAAAATATCTCATCGCGAGATAATTTTAATGAACTAACTACTGAAAATACGATTGCTTTTAAGTGGATGTTAGGAACGGAGTTTCAGTTAACAAAATATTTATAAAGAGCGGATTTTATCCCACATGCGGAGGAATATTCAACGATCTCGAAAAATATTTTCCTTAGGCCGATTCGCACACGTGTGTGCCTTGATGAACTACTCCCTCGCTCGATGATAAAAAGAAGACAGAAGACGTGGAAGCCATTCGCTTTCCGAGTTAGTCCCGTTAGACTCCGTGCATGAAAATCACGAGCACGTTCGTCACGTGCATCCGTTATGTAGCCGTCGCACGATTAGTATTATGAAGTCGAGACAATGAGAAATATGAAGGAGCTGGTAACAGTGACAAACTTCTAAACGAGAACCGATATCTGTTAAAACTTGTAAATTATTAATTTTTTTTCTAAAAAATATAGCAAGCTGCTAATACAAATCTCTAAATGGGAACTTGTATCTGTCAAACTTTATAAATTGTCAACGTTATTTTTTCTAAAAATATGACATACCTGTGTGTAATCTTGTTTTTATTAAATTGAACTAATAATATGACGTATAGAGAAAAAAATTAGAATTATTCTTTATATACATATAGTTTTAGCAATATAGCTTCAATTCGTCTGAAAATGCTCTGAAAATAGAAGCAGGTCCGTGAATAAAATGGAGTGTCGTTCCCAGATCGGTGATCGTCTCAAAGGACTCGCATGGTCGATTATAGATTGAGAAGAGACCACGACACGATGATGGCAACTCACGAGTTCGTTAATAGCGCGGCGTGTCGAATTTTGATCGAGAGCGCGGCGAGAAGCTGCGACGAGGATCTCGTTGTGTCGACCTACGCGCAGGTTTGTCCCTGAAACTTTCGCAGAACAGGATTGATATCTCGCACGATGCTTCACACGACAACCACGTATTCTCTGTGTGTCACACATCACCGGGTGTCCCGAAACATTCATGTCTATTCTTCGTCAAAATCGATTTCTTTCACAACGAACAATTTGAGAGAAACATTTGTAGAAATTAGATTAGTTATTTATTTGTAATATAGATAACGCACAAGATGGACTGCGCAAGATAAATATTCATCAGCCATTTAAGTTCAAGGATTAAAATTAATTATCGTCAATTAATTTCAATTTTTCTATTTCAATGTTATTCTTCTAAGATTCTGTTGATAATTTTCCAGTTATTATCGTATTATACATTTTTATCTCTGAACTTACGTGAGCGAGAAATATTTCTTTTGATTTATCGTGAGAGCTTTCGTAATTGTCCATTGCATTGAGGAACTGCTGAATAACACGAACATGAATTTGTCATTGCAGCCGCCGGAGAATGAGCTGCAGAAAGTGGGCGAGCGCGTGCCGAGTGAGCACGAGCTTAGGGTGCAGCGATCATTGCAACGACTCAATGTGCCCGACTGGTACAAGAATTCACCCGCTGCCCGCGACGGCTTCCGGCTGAAGAGGCACTCCGATGCGTCGCAGCATGGAGGATGGCGCGCCCTCGGCTCCAAGACTACCTCCCTGTCATCCCTCTCGTCGTCTTCCAATCGACAGCCGACCACAGGTGGGATTGAGTTATCTTTGAACCAGCGACGAAATCGATTCTAAAAATAATTAAACGTTATAAATCCGAAACTTTCAACAAATTAAGAAAAAGGAGGGTATCTCTAAATGCAATGTGTGCTCTCTAAATTCTTTGATGGAATCTCACTTTGGAGAGTGAAAATTGAGCCAGTCTTGAAAATGAGTGTGGCTCAATTGTCGATCTTTATTAGTGAGATTTCACTCTTCAAAGTGAAAATTTACTCTAAAAGTTTTAGGGAATTAATACTCAGATGAATAAACAGATATGTTTTTATTTTGTTAGGTTTTATAGCTTAACTATATTGTATAATGAACATTCGTTTTTTTTTTCTTATGTTACAGGTGTCCTTCTGAGTCCCAGTCCTACACCCCCCGTATTCTCGAGATGGAGTACCAGCTTGCTGAACAGCGCCGGCAGTTCACCCGCGAGTTCGGCCAGGTCGTCCTTCAATCACCGGCAGCCCTACTTGGGCTGGCGTTCTCAGGAGCGATTGACCAACCCGCGGACGCCGGCGGAACGTCTTGCTCAGGGTATTCTTCCCCAACTGCAAGCCGCAAACAAGGTCAGTGCATGATAAAAAAAGAAGCCCTTATTCTTTGTTTTTTTTTTTGTCATTTCTGTCTTATCGACTTTTCACAATCCTCTCTTCTTATAGATTTAATCTTTAATGGCAAATTAAAATTGTCTATCTGTTTTATCTACCATTCAACGCAATTTTCCCTTATATAATTCAGCGCAAACGCGTCAGCAAATACAAAATGCCTCGTGGAAATTATTGACGTCACCGTTTACGTCACGACTTCTCTTACGTCAGCAAGCCTTAGAATTCTAGTGTATTTGTGAATCGATATTCGTGATTGTATGAAGCTGTGTGTTACACAGTACATTTTACGCGTTTACGCACACTCGTCGTATATTCGTACTTGTTGATGGATTCTGAAAGCGAAAACTAACAACGCGATCCCTTGCGATTCGTTTTCGTTCCACCCTCTGATCCCTCTACGAGATTTGCATCTTGCTCTTTGTGCAATTTATTTTTAATTTCCGCAGACAGTACGCAAGCGCATCGCCGCTTTCTAAAATTAGAAATTCTGGCAGGAAAGCTCCTGTCGTCTCGTATCTTTCACAGTTTCTTTCTTGAAAAATGATGCATTTTTAAGACTCTTATATACTAAAGCTTTTTCCCTAATGATGGTAATAATTTTAAAAACCATTTATCATCATAAAATTTATCTCTATCTAACGGATTATACAACTAAATACTTCTTTCATGAATATTATAATGTCAAGCAATAATTATATATTATAAAATATTTATATATTTTAAATAATTTATTTATAATCTTCTGATAATAACTAGATTACTTATATTGCTTTCCATATATACGAGTGAATATTTATTTTTTTGTTTTTTAATGTTCCTGATAATAATTTCTATATTTCTCCAAACACTCGAAACAATGAATGATTGTAATTGCTTTAGAAGAATCATTTCATTTTTGTATTCTTTATATATTTATACTTTGTATTATTTAGCTTTTTATATAATTTCACTTTTATCGAGCTTCACACATTTTGCAAGTATCAGTGCCAATTCTAATTACACAGGCCATTGCATTTTGTATGTAGATATGTACCGTCGGTTAGAAATATTTTTGAGAATAATTGCTTCTCGAATTGTTTCCCAACATTAAAATAACAATGGTTAATGTTCTGGGTACAACTAATTTGAGTCAAAATGTCAATTTTGTGTATCCATAATAAATAATATCTTCAATTGTTCGGAATGGATTTCATGCTTGTTTCGCAACAACAGCAACAGCAGCAGCAGCAGCAACAACAGACAACGAATCAGCAGCTGGAAGTACGGAACTCGATAAAGGAGGTGACCTCGGCCATCGTGCACTACGTGCAGAGCGGCCAGGAGGTCGGCGGAGGCGGTGGCGGCCGGCTCTCGCCTCGACCTCGACCTGAAGATTGGGATGATAGGGGCGGAGCGAGGTCTACCAGCCCCAGAGGTGAGCACTAAAGCAACCCCCTCAGCCACAAAAAAAAATATACCATCCTATCAACATCACAACCACCATCACCTTTGCTCTCCGTCACGAAGGTAATTTTTGAGTTTTCCTATTTTCTTAATGTCTTCTTTTATCTTCCTTTGCAAGCTGCCTCTCTTTTTCTCTCTGTCTCTCTCTCTCTCTTTGTCTCTGTATGCATCAGCTGGCTCTGCGCATCGATGAGGTCAAAACAGGTCGGTTTTTAATATTTATACCCTCCTCCCCTTCCGATTTCTCGGATTAAAGAATTTTAAGGGTCCCGCGGGATGTAGTTTCTCAGAAAGGTTCACTTGGAAACGCGTTTCAAAATATTTTCTTATTCCGTAATGAGCACCCTTAAAATTCTCCATTTGAACCCTAATTATTATATTGCATTTTAGTAAAATACATTATTATTGTGAAATTTACATATATAAATATATCATTATATTTCGAATTAATGCAAATTAATGGAAATTAATGGAAATTCGAATTATGGAACTTTTAATTAATTCAAAACTATCTTCACGCGACATTTCATTTTGTTAAATACATCCGCGAGGTATCAAAAATTCAATTTACGTCGCAATAACCGCCTTGTATTAAATATAAAATTCTAAGCTATCTTAATGTCTAAACGAAGACTCTTCTTCTCGTTCGCCATTGAGGCACTGAGTGCAAGTCATAGCGGTAAGAGTGCTTCTTGCAAGTGGCTCGCATACACGTGTCGCACTTTAACATGGTACAAGTATTCAAGCTTGCTAAGTACTCAGTCTACATCTTCCGCGTTTTGAATTGCGGTGCGCATCTCCTCGCGACTGGTATCACTTTGGATATAAATAAATCCATTGGTAGGAAGTAAGTGTGTTCAATCTCAGCATCAGATGATCCTTGATCAAATCCATCACAGGATTCTGATGTCGGAAGTGCCCTTAGATTTTGCCTTTAAGATTATTACAAGGAAAGTCAGTTTAGTCTTCTTCCTTATTTGAGCTTTGACGCTCCTGTTTTAGAAATAAGAGATAATAGAAACGTGAACAGCGTTTGATACTTATTTGTCAAAAAACACTCCAGTTAGGATGTGTACGCCTGTCAATTTACGACGTTACAAAATAACGCGATCGACAATGTGTCTCTTGATTTTGAAATCTAGTGTTGCGTATTACAGTCAACGCCAGATCGTGACCTTCTCGGACAATCTCAACGCTGCGCTGCGACTCGAGACTAGTCGCTGCTATTTCGATAGTGTCTCATGACCGTCGTCACCGAAATAGATTACCCTGAAATTCAAACACCTCTTTTTCCCCCTCCTTCCTTCTCGACGCAAACGAACTCGCAAATGAGTTGTCTGCGAGGTGTAATATCGAAGGTGTAAATTGGAACAGATTAGAGGAGAAGCTAGAATGAAAAGCTTTGCGTGAAGACGAAATCGCAAATTTTGTAAAGCTCACTAAAACTTTGATCGATTCGATATCTTTCGGATGCTGCTGTGACGTGCATTGAAACTTAACGCTTACACTAACATATTGTATATGATATCAATAACAGATAATGATTAACTCGCTGCTTACTTAAATATTTCTCATATAACTTACTATTTACTAACAAAACTTTGATGACTAGCTTCACTAATGCTACTCTTCAAGATAGATTTATGAACGTTCTTATACAAAATTTTTTAAAAGGAATAGGATCGTATAGAATCACGTATGATTACGCTGTTGCATTCTCCAATTTATTTGATATTATTTTTAATTTCCTTTTGTTATTTATCTCTCAATACCCATACTACTGCTTCTACTACTTAAGACGTTTATAGGATCAATAAAGATAGTTAATGCCCGCATCGTCGGATCCTAATCGTCAGGAGAGCCTTATAACGAAAGAGATTATAAATCCCCTTGGTATTATATAACACGTATGTGCACGAATAGCTTCTTCCGTGATGCTTCGCGCGTTCAAGAATATGGCAGTTACTTATTCACCGTTTACCCCTTAAGGATTAAAATTTGTAGTTAGATTAACGCATTTATAATATCTGTAATCGCAGAAAAACGAAATGTGTGTGCGAAGTAATAGTTTATGGTGATCAGAAATATTTTAAGAATAAATTCTTTGACTCTGATATGATCCTCTTAGAATCGGATAAATTCGTAATAATCTATAAAATTTACAAAGTTTGAGTCACGTTAAAGATTTTGGAAATCTTCAAAATTACAAGTAGATTTTCCACGGAAAGAAGTAGGAGGAGACTGGGAGGTCCTATAAAAGTCCTCGATTAGAATTAATTTCCGACGCCGACGCGAAGGGTCAGTTATGATCCGGGCCTAATCGCTCTCGCATTTGTGTCGGCACCTCGAAGGGAGCGTGAGGCTGTGCTGGATGGAGAGCTCGTTCGTCGGCACGCGGCCCGTGGACTCACCGGAGACGCCTATGAGCCTGGCGACCGACCAGGAGGCCGGCGACTGCTGCAACGCGGCCGGCACCGAGTCCTGCAGCTGCCAGGACTCGGCCGCATCCGGTCTCTACCTGGACCTGACACCCAGCCGAGATGACGTGCGCCATCAGCATCTTCAGGCATCCTCGGCCGGCCCGTCGCCCACGTCCTTCTCTAACTATCATCACCATCATCAGCGTCACCAGCATCGCCAGCAGCAACAGCAACATCATCACCGCGGTGAGTTGCTGCTCGCCTAGCGGACGCGCGAAACTTTCGGCATCCGGTTACTTTCGGTACTCCGCCCTTATCGCTGAGCGCGCGAAACTGACGAAGACGATTTCTCGAGGAGATTTTCCTGTAGATTAGAAATTAAATCAAAAAGACTCGTATGAACTAACGTAATTAGTTTTAGAGAGAATTGAATGAAAGAAAAAAGTATAGATATTTAATTAATATAATAAACATATCAATATTAATTATTTTCCCCGTTTTTACGAATCGTCCTACGTGATGAATATTACGATGATCTTTAAATGTTTATTCGTCGTGTGCTTTTATCTCGTCGGCATAGGTATAACATCCTAGAGGCACTCTCATAATTCTCTCCGGGACCGCGAGCTTTTTATCGTCGTCACGACGGTGATTAGAGCTTACGCCCACATATCGATAATCGTTATCTCCCTTCATTCCGTCCTCGTTTTCGTCAGCTTTCGTTGCGCGCTCGGTCGAGCCGCAGGTGCGCGAGGCTTAATCGAGCTTTCAGGACTCAGCTAATAATTAATTTACAAAGCCGACTCGAGTCAACATATATTTTCTTTTCTCGTTCTCGAAGGTTTATCACTGCGGACTACAAAAGGATAAAGCTGTACATCCACTTGAGAACTCTCTTGTACCTCGGGAATGAACTCTCGATAAGTAAAACCTTCGAAGCTGCGAATAATCATCAGACTTTCGTTCATCGAAGTCTATGATTATTCGCTTTTACTATCGAGAATTTTCTATTCGAGAGCGATGTCCTCAAGTGGATATCATCAGGCTTGATCGAACGGCGAGACTCGAGATGACGATGAAACGACACGAATTCGTTGCATTAATATTTAGCGACGTCGCGATTTATCTGATTGCAGCTTACTCGCCCGAGGATTATTTCTCGGGAAACTGGGAAGTGCATACTCGAGTCGCGCTTTTCGCCAACTTTTTCGCACATACAGCGAAAAATTTTAAAATAAAAAATTCTCCATTCCACGCGCGTTCTCTCGTCTCTCACTCACTCTCTTTCTCTCTCCTTTTCATTCTTGTCGTCGCTCATGCGAGAGAGCTCGTCGCGAAGAATTTTTGTAGTTACACTTTCTTACTTTGTTTACGATACGTGTCGACGACCCTCCGCTCCCCTTCCTGTTCGCTGATAAAGGAACAATTAAAAGGCGCTCCCGTATATCATTGTATGAAGATATTAATTTTATATTAATTTAACCATTTTATTTCCCCTCCTCTCTCCTCGCTCACCATTGTCAGTAGTTATTTGCGTTCATGTATGTTTATTGTAAAGCTGTCCACTTTACGTTAACACCTGTAGAACCTGTACAGGTGTATACATATTTGTATTAATTAGGTTTACTTATGTAAAACGCGCGCATACCGTTTATTATGTGTTACGAGCGCATCGATATTATTATTATTATTATCATTATCGTTATTATTATTTTTAATTGTATTATTATTATTATTATTATTATTATTATTATTATTATTATTATTATTATTATTGTTACTATATTTTAATTAATCGGCTCCGAAGCACACAGAATCACGTGCGCACGTCTCGTTCTGTCTCTTGCTGTGCCTTAATAATTTTTTTATTTTGTTATTATTATCGATGTATATTGAGTGCGCGAGTGATATTATATATAAAAGATTTCGATCGTGTGAATCACGAGACGACAAGAACGATGATCTCGCGATGATTCTGTGTGCCTGGTGCTCCCCTGGTCTCTCTGTCTCTCTTTCAAACGGTTCCGTACTTATTGTTCGGACGTGTCAACGATTATCATTTGTCTGTAGAGCGTAATTATTATCCCTGGCAACAAATAAATTATTGTCGTCATTCTTTGTGTTTCCGTAAACTTCTTTGTTCCCGCGTTCATTTATATTCACATGTATATATACGTATATATATATATATATGTGTGTGTATGTATATATATATATATATGTGTATATGTATAATTATTTTTTATATACATAATTATAATTATATATAATTATTTTTTGCTCACCCTTATGTGTTTCTTCATTAAATCGGTTCACTTCATGATCTCAATTGGTAAATATTTTGTTAAAACATTTATTATGTATGTTTATATGTATTTTTTGCAAGAACCGATTTAATGTCACGATCACCTATGTGAACATTGTCTGCATACACTTATTTCGGTCGCATTGTGTACCACGCTCTGCTTGTGTCACGGTAAGTGCTGCAGAATTTTGTTGCTTTCTCAGCTACGATGTCAGCAATCGAGTTCTGTCTTTTCGTATGTAATTTAACAGCCGCACTTATGCGCGCGTAAAGCACAATTGATGACATTAAATAATGATCGATCGAATAACGATCGATATACAATTAGCGGTCCCGAAATGTAAACTTGATCTGGCACATAACTAGATGTATTATTTTTCTAGCCGCAAGTTGCGGTAACTTCGGTCGGCTGCAATCACGCGTCTGTCGCATTTACTATTATAATGAAGATTCGTAAAAAAAGTTTGTCATCTCCCTAGTATGAAGAACGTATGCTTTTTCGAGGCTAAGAGAAATTTAACGAAATTAATCAAAAGACGCAATATGGGGGGGAATCGCTTTATTCATAGTGGGGTAAAGGGGTCATTGGTACCCTGGAAAGGATATTTTATTTCATTTTCATTCAAGTATATACACGCGTACACAAACGCACACACACATACACACGTACACACACACAGAGCACAGCACACGTGCACACGCAGTTGCCTCCTTTCGTAAAACGGGACCAGATTAAGGGGGCAACGAGAAAGTAATCGCTTTATTATTAATCACGGAATTAATGGAAAATGGGGAAAGGCTTATCTCGTTCTCACCAAATGCATACACATAAAAGTACACGCACACAAATACGACATAAGCGCGCACGTACGCGCGCACGTACACTTTCGAGGCCAAGAGGATGACGCAAACCTCTCTGTCTCTTCTTTACCCCCGCATGATACCGATGATCAGGATCGGGCCAGAGCGATACGGACGAGGCGATGGCGACGGCAGCTCTTCTGCGGAACAAACCGAGCCCGGGCTCCACGACCCTGGAGGACGTACTTGACTCCCTCCTGGGGCTGCCACCCGCGTCGCGTACCCCGAGTCCTGGCCCGGGGGGACCCGTCGTGACCGCCACGTCCGCCATCCGCCATCGCCATACGAACGCCGCCGTCGGCCAGGCGAATGCCGGGCAGAGCTGCAGCGACCTACGCCAAGACCTCCAAGGTAGGAGGACTATGTAAGTTTTCGTTCTGATCGGCAAATTCTATTCAAGAACGATCAATTTCTATACGTACGAACTCTCTCCCCCCCCCCCTCTCTCTCTACCGTAACCCTGAAGAGCGTGAGCATCGAGTGTCCTAGCTGTAAGAATCTTACGCGAGCGGCAGAAGTTCGATATCATAAATATTATATATACTTACCGATTCTTTCTAATTCTCGCAATTAATTTTATTCTGAAAAAATTTATTTTTGAGAACGACGGAATTCTTTTGGAAAATTTCTAGAGATTCTTTTCGGAATGTTCTTTTTTTTTCTTTCTTTTCTTTAATTTCCTAGCACGAGAGAAATCTGCCGCTGGTGTATGCATTCATTCTGGGTCACTTCGATCTACACGTGTATTCCGACTGTGTATTCCACTTTGCGGTGTAAAGAAAAACTTAAACTTGCGTTTCTCTTCGCCTCGTCGCCACTCACCTCACCCTTCACCCACGGAGACTGTGCTTCGTATTTGAACGAAGGAAACCAGGTTTCCACGCGCGAACTGAGATACTCTAGATAAAATTACATATATCATATCATTCTTACATATCACATTATCGATGGCGCAGGGAATCGAAAGAATATGTTACGAAAAGACTCCCCCAACGACTCTCTCGAAAGAGAATTTCACTTTCATCCCTAAAGAGATATAACTAAGTAAAACGAGACGAAACGAATGCGACGTTGTTGCTTTTTAACTCGAGTCTCTGTGGACCAGTCGCTGACTCGATCTATCGATACAGAAAAAAAAAAAAAAAAAAAAAGAAACCCATGAGAACATCATCCGACATGAAGAAGAACGCGATAACGCCTATCTCGATGCCTCCCTCGAACTCACGTTCTTTTGCACCTTTGCAGAGGCGAGCCTAAGGGCGTGTAAAGCCCCTCACGGGGTCGTAGACACCCCAGAGTCCAAGGACGAGCTTGGCCGTGGCCGGCCACCGCAGCAGCCGCTCGCTGCTTATCGCGCGAATGATTAGGACCGCATGATTAATAACACGAGCCGAGACGGAGATCGTAAGACAAAAATCATCAACAAGACTCTCGACACTCTCTTTCTGTCTCTCTTTCTCTCTCTATATATATATATATCTCTCTTTTCTTACATATCTTTCTTTGTCTTTAAAGATCTGTCCCCCTTTTAGCAGCGCTTCCTATACTTTCCAGCGATCTATCTCAACTTTCACGTATTTGTTTCGCGAAATTTTATTTCGATGCGTTATCGTAATTTTAAAAGATACTTTAAATGATAAAAAATCGCGTTAACATTTTAAATTGAACTTTTTGCTATAAAAGTGCTATATTTAATGGGAGGATCGATGACAATTGATTTGCTTCATTAGACTTGATTGTATATCACATTTATTTTTAATGCGGAAAACGTAGGAAAGTGCGACTAAAAAGAACAGATCTTCTATGGTTCTGTGCACGATCAAGCTTGATGGCACGTGGGATAAGTTGGATACACAGATTGGATTCGCTTTTACGCGAACTTGTAGCAATGTGCCCACTCGCTCTTATTATATAACAAGTCTTTTTTTTTATAATTGTGATTTGTATTTCAACGAACACATAGCGTATGGAAGTGAAAAAACTTAAAAAGAATTTCTATTAATATTTTTAGAGGAGTAATATACGCATACCTAGAAGAGATAAAAAGAGAATTTTCCGCAAGAATTTCTAAGAGATATTTTAAGATTAAAACGGTTGAATGAAATGTTTCCACTTACGAAATTAAAAATTAAATTTCTCTTTTTCTAATAGTTAATCTTCCACTACGATAATGAAAAGTTTATATCACAACGTTATAATGAAGAAATCTTTCGAAAGGAAGAACTAATTTCAATGACAATTAAAAAAAATCTTAAATACGTTTCTTGCTAGTAATTATTTACATACTTTTAGAAAAAGTTTAACATTTTTTTTTATAGAACTCGATATATTTTTATGATATGTTCCTTTTAGTCAGCTGTCTTGTTCTTTAAATGATTTCAGTTGTTATTTGCTTTAATGCTTTAGTTTTCTTAGTTAGATAATTGCTTCAAGTACTGAGTTGGTGAAGCCATCACTGACACAAGGAAAATGCGATTGAACGGCAAGGAAAGTTAGACTGTTGAGGGGAGGCGAATTATTATACGTACGAGTGCGTCATTAAAAGATACATCACGCCGATCACTGTCATTCACGCTCATACTTGCTTATAATCATCACGTCATTGTGCTTAACGCGTTTCTCGCGCTGGCTCTCGGTGACGATGACGGAGGAAAGTGAGAACGAATTCTCTCTTGTTCCATGTAACATTACTACACAAAATCATTTAGTATCATTCATCATGTCGCACCAAAGTAATAAACATCATCATTTTCCATTTAATGCAAATTGGTAGACAGACTCAAGAAGAAGAGCTCGCTTTAAAATCGTGTTAAAATTCACACTCTGAAAATATGAAAATTAGGTGTTGCAAAGAGCGCTGCATGGAAATTTTGCAAGAATAAAATAATCCGCTTGAAAATACGCATATCTTTGCTTTTTATAAAATCTAACACGATTTTGAGATGAGCCCTTCAGTTCAATCACGATCGTTCTCCAACCTCTCTCATCGTCTCTCCTATCCCTCCATCTTGTCGTACTTGTATTGATAAAGGCAATCGATCTGACTTGTCGCAGAGTCAGCTAAGAGCGTGATGGACGTTCAGCAGCCCGCCTCCCCCTCCGGGAGCTGCGGTTGTCGCCGCCGCAGCTGCGTCGTCCTCGTCGTTGATGCCACGCGGTGGCGTCCAGCCGCGTCACCGTAGGGTGTCTTTCGACAATGCCCAAGACTCCACTAACGGCAGCTCGGCTGCCATGGACAAGGTAGTGCGGTGCCGTAACAACAAGTGCGGTAACTCGACCACCCTGGCAGAAGCGAGGAGGACCTATAAGAGCTGCCACAATTGCACCTGCCTATACTGTTCGCGCGAATGTCGAAGAGCTCACTGGCAACGTCATCGCAGGACCTGCCTTCATTCGCGAGCCGGCAGTCTCTGCCGCCAGGTACTGTCCTCGGCGAAAGAGGACCCGGCCACCCTGAAGCACATCTCCGCCCTTGCCAGACGGGGCTACGCCGGTCACGGTCGCGGCGCGGTCAAGTGCTTCTTCTCGAGCCCCGAAGCGGCCGAGCGTTTCGTCGGCAACGGCTTCGCCGACCTTGGCGAGCCCACCTACGTGCGTTGGTCAGACTTACTCCCGGGCGAGATGGGCGCCGAGCTCTACGCCGAACTGATGCGCCTCTGTAAGACGTACAATCCGGAAACGCGGCTAGTGCTCTACGTGGCGGTGTGCGTGGTCAGCGAAGTGCCGACTAGCGGCGCGGTCAGATGGGAACGGCAATTGGTATCCAGGTGTGCGAAGATCAGACTCGACGGGGCGGCTAAGCAGCATGCTTCCTCCTCCTCGGCGTCTCCGCAGGCCAGGAGGAGACTCTCACAACAAGCACCTGCGTCTCCCTGTAACATCACTAGAGAGATGGACTCGCCTGAGACCCTAGTCTTGACATCATTACCCGGTAACAACGGTCAGAACACGCCACGAAAAGCGCGAGAGATCAGCTTCACTAATATTCAACGGCAGCTCAGGCTCAGAGGAGTCTCCTTGAGGAGACACTTTCCCCAGGTATACCGGAAACTTTGTTCTTACGTGGACGGCTCGGTGGACAAATTCGCCCCGGTGACCATCTATCCCAGAGATCAGGCGTCCGGTAAGAGCTTCATGTGTATCATCATGCTGGATGCGGAGCCTGAACGTCTTCAACTATTGCCCACGGATTCGTCTAGGGTGAGAACAGTGGACATCAGCGTGGAGCAAGAGTGAGAGCCATGTTCGGGTAGAACGAGATTCAAGAATCGGGATAGCTCAAGACACGTCGCTCAGGATTTTCCTCAGGTTCACGGGGAGACGGTCAGAAACGTCTTCGTAGACGGAATTCTTCAAGATGAAAACTACTGACGTCGGCCAGTGGCAGAGCAAGAGCGAAGATGACATTTGAAGAAATGATCAGGAGTATCACAGGAGATCGCAAGGGATTTGCTCAGAATTTTCCTAAAGTTCTAGAGAAAAAGATCGAAGATGGCTACTGACGAATGCCTTCAGAGATTGAAGACGACTTCATCAATCAGTGGAGTAAACTTCGATAATGTAAAAGTTTAAAAGGTATCCTAATTTCATCGGATATCTTTTGAATGTTTATATTGTCTGTGTGAAAGAATGTTTAGGTAGAAGAGTATTTAGATGAAAATGCCGACGGAAGTCTAGATGGATCTAGAAAGCTCAACACATTTGAGCTCACAGACTTGTATGATTTCACACGCAGGACACGCATACAAAGACTTTTTCTATCTTTCCTTCTAGAGAAAAAAGAAATCGAACGCACGAAAAACGATAAGTATTACTTTGTTCATACCCTCTTTTTCGATACCCTAAGTATCGCGATCGTATGAAGGCAATTCTCCATTATTTCAGACATCCAGATTTAGTCGTTGCTGTATGAGAGATTTATTATAATCGTTCGCCAGTATAAGTCTTATTGAAGAATTATTAACGATCCTTTCAATCCAAAATATATGTGATCGATAACTTTTAAAGAAAATATTTGAAGAAAATTAAATAAATATTTTCACGCGTTTGTTAGTATATTACAACGATTTGATAAATCAAGTAAAATAGTCTATACATAGTCATGTTTCTTTAGCGATTCTTTTGAAGGGATTGAAAGGATCGTTACGTCAGTGACGATTTCAAGATTCTCGGCGGATGGAACGGAAAGTAAGATTTAGAGTACGTTGTTGTCTCTTCGTTCAACTTTGCATCGTTTAAATATTTTATCGTATATATATATATTATATGTAAAGAGGCGAGAAACATTTTTTCTCAGCGGATACATTCACGATCGATCGCTACGGAAGTTTCGCTTAGAGTCCGACTTTACCAGAGACGGAAATCATACAATATCGAGCCTCGAAAGGGAATATATATTTCAAGAGTTATATTGTATATTTTAATTTGTTCATGCAAATGTCATTATTATAATTATGACCGCGGAATGCCTGCCTTACTTACCGGCATGTAAATATGATTCCCGTCGTTATTAATCGGATTAATTTAATAATACGAACGTAATCACGAGGTTCTTTTGATCCACATTCGCCCCCCCCCCCCTTCTTTAAACGCAAAATAGAAAAAAAAAAGATAAACCCGTCTCGGAGATGCGGTATCAAAGATTTTGCCACAAGTATCGTTCACGTTCATGACATCGTGCCAAATGAGAAAAGCGTGATAAAAGTCGCGAAAAGCAAACTTTCGGAACGCAGAACATCGTCACTTTTTCGATATAAACTTCTAATCTCGAGGGAACGCGCCACGCGTACAATTTCGGTTAAAAACGGCGAAAAGTTTTCCCGCGGATCAATGAATCGCCAATTTTACTAGTAAACGTTTAATAGTAAACGTAGCTAGGTCGAGTTGCATCACAAGTTACGACGTTACGAAAGGCTGATCTCTTTCCAGCGGAAAAAGAAGAAGGATGATCGATAACGGTGCCAATGATAAGGAGAAACTTACATCATTACTTTGTATAGCAATGTAAAAACGTACCGAGAGAGAGAGAAGGGAAACTTGCAATCCGAAATTACGCGAGTGTCGCGGTGTCATCGAGTGACGATTAATCAAGCAATCGACGATGCTTCGGTGATTCATAATTTAATAGATAATTAATGGGGGGAGAGAAATCGCTAACGAAGGAACGAAGGGCGGAAGCGCGATTTCCTACGCTAGTAGGTAGAAGTCGATACCCATTTTTATCGGTGACAATGCAATTTTTATCGACGACGAAACACGATAGAAAGTAAATGGAACCAAAAGAGGATGCATCGCAGTGCCAATAATAAAATGCCATCGATATTTCTATAATCGACGAGGAATATTCTATTCGCTGTCGAGGTATTAAAAGACGACAACTTATATGTTCTGCATACACCGATCATGATGATCCTTACGATTATTGATTTCGATTAACCGGATTCTTTTGTATGCATAGCGAGAGCATCGAGTTATTATACAACGTTTAATCGTTAACATCTGTTACATTATCAAGCTTGCGACCAATGTTGATCCCTCATTTTACGTTTGTATATAGCGCTATTAAAGGGATATATACATATAGGAAAGATAAATTAGGGGTAAGAGAGCGACTTCGCTAGCGAGAGAGGAGATTAAAGAAATCGATCAAAATTCGAAAGTAGGCGGCTTACCGAAGATCAGTCCGTTACATCCTCGATATAGTTCCTTTTCCTATCTCTATTACGCGACCGATTATTGCGACTTCATTATACAGGCTGTATAATAAAGCGTATTGATTTCGACGCTTTGCGATACATCTTGAATAAATATATTTATATATCCATTCCGCTCTAGAAATATATAAGGATCAGTGAGGATACATCGGTTGGAAAAAAAATACTCAATTTCGTTATTACTAAAGATACAGCGTGTTCGTGAGAGATTTTGTATTAGACAAAATTGTTTTTATCTATAAAGAAAAGTTTCTGTATTAGAAAGTTTATTGGAAAACAAACGATTAAGATTTTATATTATTTACACTTTTTACACTGATTTCGAAGAAAAATCAAGAATGTTTAATTGTCGAATGCTTAATTAGTTATCATAAATTCATCAAATATTTTAGTCTCACCGGAAATGTCTGTTGTAGAAATTAAATAATTACTTAGCAATGATAAGTAGAAACTCTACGGACGTTCTGTATCTTTTCGACCGATTTGCGAGAAAGCTGTTGCTCGACGTTGACTATAACTAATCAAGACGAGAGAGCTAATCCGTAAAAGAAAGAAAGAAAAAAAAAAATTAAACAATCCAATTGATCAAACGAGCAATCAGCCCACGCATAGTCACTCTAAAGTCTAAAGATATCGTTTCAGCGTCTATTTATCGGTGCTACCAGAATGTGCTATCATTGTTTTCGCATCTGTGTATGTCTCGATTTTTCAAATAAAATGTTAATTTTATTACATAAGCCCACGGTGTGAATGCCCTAACCAAAACAATTTGAAACATGATCGAAACTGAATAAAATATAATAGAAGGTATAATGACAATTTTTTTAATTTGTGGATCAAAATAAAAAAAAATAGCAGTACGTTAATAAACGATTGAAAAACACTTTTCGATCTACACTGAGATCACTGCCGATTCAAAGGAAGTGACTTTCTTCGACAATGAAAACCTGGAGTGGAGGATTTACGAAATTTTTTTGATTTATTTGGCTTTGTACAGATTTGCTACAAATTTATTATTATTAATAATACCATCGTATATTTGTAACGGTGTGGGTAAATGACGTTCTTGCAGCCTAGATGGTTCTCTCGCGAGTCCCGGAGACCGATTTGAGCCCCCAGACCGTTCTCCGTCTTCAAATCGTTATAGGATTCCTTTCCCTCATCTCTCTCAGATATTACCGATCCCGATCGATCCCGACGACCGTTTCTCGAATATATATATTTTTATCACGAGCATACACTTCATAACTTCATAGTTTTACATAAGCTTTGGAATACCCGTGGACATTAGGTACACAACGGCTTTACAATAATTTAGTTTTTACGGGAAACCCTTGCGGAAAGCGCGGTTGAGACGAATGACAATTATATTTATTTCGTTCATATACAAACTCGCACGATATCGAAAAGCTTACATTAAAAAAAAAAGAATCCCATTTCGCCTTTCCCCTCTTTCCTCCCTCTCTCTTCTCCCTAAAAAAACCTCCGATAAATACTGTGTCGTAAATTGGCGAGATAGCTAAGAATATCCTTTACGTCTAAGTGTCCTTATGTCTAGTTTCGATCTGCACCGAAGCTTCTGTAACTCTTAACGAGTATTATTATCGTTACGTTGTCTTTTTTATCATATATTATACTTGCGCAACATAACAATGTAACGATAATGACGCTGTCATTAAGAATTACAGAATCCGCTGCGCGCTATTTGCGCGTATACTGGATGCGCCAACATCTTCGTGAAAGTGGTAATATTCTGACAAATTTTGTGATCCAAAAATATTGAAAAAATATATAAGAAATAAAAGTTCTATCTTTTTTTTTTTAAATAGAGCATTTGGCGCATCCTGTACGCAAAATAAGAATTATTCAAACAAAAAGTAGCATCTCTGACGTGAAGTACAATTTATCTAGGAAGCTAAACGATATCATCCCACTCCTGTCATTATCGAATTACTTCCGCGATTGTGAAATGAATAATGTAATGAGTACAATTTGTTCGTGAAATGCTTCTGGCTCTCACGAGGAAGTTGATCGCTGTACAGGAATAATATTAGATTTATCTAAATCAGAAATCAAAGTTGATTTGATTAGCCTATGGAAATCGCGTGCGCGATCTTCCTTATTATTTTTAAATCGCTTGTTCTACTTCGTCCAATTCCAAATAAATTAAACTTAAGCTCGGACTGTCGGGCACTTCGCTTTCCGTCTCAACGAGTCTCGTTGATTATTGTTATATTGTAATTATAACTCCCACGTTCAAAGCACTCACGTAAATGTACACACGTCATTGCCGATGATTCGCATATTATTTTCCCTCTCAATACATTTTATGTAATTATGCTTATTCGATTCGAGCCGATCGAACAATGTGATACAAATTAAACTTTATAAAATTAAAAAGATATACGTATAAAGCACAAACTTTACAGAAAAAAACTTTCTGACAAACTTAAAATCGACTACTATCTTCTAAGAAAATTTTAAAAAATAATCACGGGTGAAATTTCTTCGTCCAACGTTCTTCTAAGCAAACTTTTCGAGTGTCCATTTACCTGGTTCAACAGAATCGCCCGTCCCATTTTCGCATTACTTACAGAAGATTTGTAGTACGTACAAGAAAATTTACAGATCTTACTCTCAAGGAAATAGCGGAGGTAGCGGAGAAAAAAACACTCGTCTTCCTCACCACCGCCGTGAAACTTTGCAGTAAAATTACCGCGACCGATATTTTTTTATAATATTCTATAATATATATATATATATATTTATATATAATTATATATTTATCTGTGTATACATATATATATATATACATATATATTTAAATATATGTAGATATACATATACGTACCGACTTATCTAGAATCGTCGTCGTCGTCGTGTTTCGCCAACATCGATGCAAAATAAATCACAATCGTATTTCTTCCTCCCCGTTTACCCTCCGATTGGCAACTGTGTTCTTGCGCAGTTAACAATATATTGCATTGCATGCGCATCTTTTCTCTTGTTTTCTTCCCCATCGAGTTATACGCTAATGAATACGCTAAAAAATATTAATCCTCTCTCACGTTTATCCCGTTCTATGTTTAACAAAGTATTTTGGTTTCTTGACACGACGTGGCGAAAGTAATCATCCTATTTAAGCATAAAAAAAAGATTCTCTTAAAAAATGAAGATATTTATCGCATAATACAGCAATGATGCATGCAACAATATATCATATGAAACGGTTTGATAAAAGAGAAATGCGGAAATAGAAGAAATACAATGTATCCGCAAAAATAACGTGATTATTTTCGCATCGTCTTGCGTATTCCTATCAGCGACCGTAACATGGAAGATTACGACTTGAAAACGGCGAAGGATAAGAAAATTCCGGGAGGACTCTCGCGACAAGAATACGAAAGGAGCTTCGATATTAAGGTTTCTATCTTACAGTCTCGTTCGAGAGTACCCAGCTCTGCGCCTTTTGGTTTAACTCGCGTCATCCTGTCGATAGTGTACGCTTTTAACGCGGAGCGCTCATCTCTATGGGGTAAGTAGAGACGCTTATATATTATTATTATTATTACTATTATCTTTATATTATTTATTTATGTGTATGTATGTGTGTTGCGTGTGTATGTGTGTGAGTGAACGATCGCCATGCATCATCGTACAGCATCGTTATGGAATGTGCCGGGAAGGAAGTTCTACCTGGTTCTACCTGGTGTCACGACTTTGGCAAGTCGATGTTCACTTTCTCTGTGTGCGCATATTTTTGCCGACAGTTTGAACGCCTCGTAACATTTTTACACACCATTATTATCAGAATTATAATATAACTCGTTTCGAATATTGATACGTATATAATATTATATACATATATATATATATATATATATATATATATATATATATATATATATATGTATATAATATTATATACGTATCAATATTCGCAATATTAATATCTAAACTGTGATCTTTGAGATGGCCATACAAGTCGGAAATATGCAGAAGATATTTTAATTTGAAGCGTACTATTTTAAGGAGACTATAAACATGGCGTTCAACCTGTCAGTTGCTTCTAGGATTTTCCTGTCGTTTCAGAAAATCCTATAACTTGGATCTACGAATTACACTATTAACTAGTGCTTGATCTTCGCATTGTGTTTTTCTTACGAGCTCACGAGTGCTCCATTCGCTGCACTCAAAACTCGAATCGCGATTTGGCTAAACTACATTCGTAATTAAATTGATCGCAATTAGCATGTCTTCGAGAAAGTTCTAAGTGTGATTAAACTAAACGATGCTATTGCTTTGTCGACTGGCTGACCAGTCAAGTCAATATTGCAGAATAACTTGTGAGACAAAAGTACGATAGCATAATTGACGATCCTATAAAATTGTCGAAACTCAAACACGTCTTTCAAGAATTCTTTTTTCAAAAATTTAACTTCTAATGTTTAATTTTCTATTGTTTTCGAATAATATTTTATGTTCTTTTTGCAAAATGAATTTCTTAACACAAAAGATTAACACAGGATAATGACATCAAGAAAATATGATATCCGTATCATTTCAATTTTTCTCGTATTAATAATGCAATGAAAGGTGCGAACAATTATCTCCATTAATGAAGTTTACGATGTCTTTGTTTGGCGAGCGATAATAAATTAAGATTTTACCTGTAAATCTCCATAACGAATAATTTCCGTTAAGAGGATTATATTATATATAATTATGCTTTTATAATTCAGAATTTACTTCGATTTTATCTTGGAAATTCGTAAATTCTAAATATATAATACAATGTTTAAAGCGCGCGAACGTTTTGTAATTCCTCGGAAACGAGATATCGGTCACGGAGATACGAGAAAACAAACGAAATAGATCGGCTCGCTACAGCGCTGGAGAACGTTATGGTGGCGTCGAAGCATCAAAATGAATTAATCGTCGGTCGTTTCTCTAAGAGGCAGTAACGGCAGCGGATGATAGAGAGTTGGGTCACGCCAGATTACTCTCCTGCTCGCCCCATCCTTCGCTATCGCATTCGCTTTCTGATGCCGAATCGCTGTCACTGAACTCAACGGCGACGCGACGCGCCAGAATGGATGCGACGTCATTGAGTGCATTCACGCGCTCCACCTCTTTCTGTTCAATCTTCTCTACCTTGCGTAGTTTTATGCCTGAGAAATAATTGTCTCGGATAAAATAATATTACTTTCAATTAATGTAGAATTACTCGGTAACTAAGATTTTCCAAAATGCTTCTAAGCTTTATTCTTTTTTGAGTTATTTAAAAATCATAAAATATAGGTATAATTTACCATCGCGAATCGCCTTGAGCAAATCATTTCGCGGGTCGACCAATGGGATATTCGGGTTGACCGGTTTCCTTAGCTGGCCGTCTACAATGCTCTTCAGAGGTTTTAGTTTTGGCGGATTGGTCGCAATCATCTTCGCGATATCGCCATTTGTTAGCGGCAATGGCGCCGTAGGTCCATTAGCGACCGGTGGAGGAGGCGGTGGTGGTGGAGGTGGCGGGATGTTACATGGAGGTGAGATGGGTCTTGGTGGAGTAGGATCTGGAGTGGGAGGAGGTGGTGGAAGATCCTGGGGTGCTGGATCTGTCTCATCCGTACCCAATTGGCCTGAATGGTTCGGTGGCGTCGGTGTCGAACGTTGACTTGGTAGAGGACTATCCGATCGACTTCCGCTCCTGTTTAGCAAGTGCGGTGGTATGGAACCTGAAATATTGACAATAAGTTGTACAATTAAGTTGTTACACTTCTTATCTTTTAAAAATAATTAAAAATAATTGTAAT